ACAGGGGCTCGGCACCTTGCCTGCTGAGGAGAACTATGACCAGGTGTTGTGACTGCTGAACAAAGACAGTGCAGTTGGGATATAGAAGCCTTAATGCTCAGAAAAAAAAATGTCTTGGAAATAACACCTGTGAATAATCTTTTGGGTTAAACCAATTTGCTTCAAGTAATGAAAAGTTCCAAGAATTTCTAAAGAATTAACTGATTGAAGAAGAGGGATGATCGAGCCACACATTGGCAGATGTTGTTAAAGAGCTTGCCTTTACAGCAAGATCTGTGGTTGGGTAGTACGATTTATCTGTACGATGTTTCCCACAGCCCATAAGTTCACATAAGTTCTCTAAATGATAAATTTAGAGATTTTTCCCCAGAAAGTGAAACTGTGTGGTCATGTGCCACAGATGCCCTTAAGTGGTTTGTTGATGAATTTCATCTTGTAGTTCTTGTTTTCAGCAGACACCATATACTATATGTGCTTTTTGATGATTTTTTAGAAGTTATCTAAATAGTTGATATTGAAAATAGAAAAAAAAATCTCACCTGATGTCTTGTACGCAGCCACTTTCCTGGCAAGGTCAACTCTGCCAGCATTTTTTAAACACTCCTCTAATAGGTCAACTCTCTCAGGTGAAACCAAATCCTGCTTCTCAAGCTCAACAGCCAAATCCAAAAAAGTCTGTCAGAGATAGAGAAAAGGCCACGGGTTAGGGTTATTACATCAGGGGATTACATCTAAACTTTCCCCTCCCACACATACAGTAATTCACTGATGTGAAAAGTTTTTAAAATGGTGTCACCTTCGCCTTTTCCATCTTCTCCCCAGGTATTGTACGACTCATTAGAAACTTCATGGTGCTGAGGTCTTCACTGGCCATATCCTCACTTAGACAATCCATCAGTACTCTGTGGTGAAGGAAACATTAGTACCGGTACTTAAAGTATAGTATAACGTAATGTAGTAATGTATAACATCTTACCTGAACCTTGGAAGAACCTGACTGCCTTCAAGAGTCATCGCCACCTCTTCTCGACTGAGTCCACACACCTTCTTCAGGATGTCAAAACGTTTGAGTTCTAACAGGAGTTCCTCTAGGAAGAGGTAGCCACTCTCATAGCACATAACTTTGGATGTCAGTGTCTCTTTCACACAGGGCATGCTGTCATCAGCGTCGGGGCTTTCACACAAATAGAAGACTCTCCTGCGTTCACTACTGTCCAAAGATTCTGCTATCTGATTGATTACCAGGAGATACTGGTGGTCTGGATAAGCCATAGCCTTAAGTAGATGAAGTTTCCAGTTTCAATACTTAAACCGATAAGAAGCTGCAATAATATGAACAGTAAAAACGAGCCATTGTCATAAAAAAATATACCTCAAACAACATAAAATGCGATGTATATATGGTAGAATTAATGATCCGACTTACCCTTTAGCGTTCAGCGTATGAAAGCCGTATGACGCATGAACAAAAGATAGGAAATAAGTTTTCCGTGTAAGCCGCAGCATTTAAATTTACGGAACTATGTTTTGAATGATTTCGTCACAACTGCGTAATGACCTTTTTCAATTCTAGACCCTACAGAAAGAGCACATTTCACCAAGGCTACGTGCTAGTGAAAGTGAAAGTAAATGTTACGTTAGAATGAAAGTCGACAAAAACCGAAATAATCTGAAAACTAATAGGACATCGGTAATGTTTTTTTTAAAAGGTTTCAAATATTTTCCATTTAATTCGTTATATAAAACCACAAGTTCTAGATGAAATTAACTTGAATTCGCCTCCGAATATTTATATACTGACTAAATTTTGGAATTCTAGGGACTTCACTTGGGTCAAACTTGGACTTTTCTTTAGTAATACAGACCCTAAATCTGACCTTAACTAATTTTCACTCTGGATAAAATATAGACGGGGAGGGCACAACTCCAACATTGCTAGTTACTTACAAAAACAACACTTTTGTTATTTGATATTTTTAAAAATTGAAACAACTAAGATTATGTCACTGCTCAGGTTATTTTTGTAATGTGAAGGCTTGTTTCTAATGTTGCTAGACTTTATTTATTTCTCAAAAAACTCTATTTTTAATATATTTTGAAAATTAAAGTTTGCGGCATTTGTGTCTCCCAACGCCTCACGCATTTCAACTCCCTGTTGAAAGTTAATCGTCTATTTTCCAATGATCTTAAATGCACCATTGCCGCTCCCCCCTGCTCTCCGCTTACCACAGACGTGTTCACTGAGTTCCGCTCCATCTGGCCAATCGGGTCGCTCTGTGGTTCGGCAGCACCATTGCAGTGTGGAAGGATCATACTGAGGCGCCGCTGCTCGCTACAGAGAGGCAGCAGTTGGAGGAAACGTACACTCGACCTGGGTGACCGCTTTGGACAAACACCACCTTGTTCGAGTCCTCACGGTCACCGGGTGACATTGTCATCATACGCCTCCGTACGGGTGAGTGAATTCTTCGCATTATCTACAGCTAAACATCCACAGTGTCCTCCGGTCATTGCAGTCAAACGCCGCTGCTGGTGAGTTGGAACATCATCACTACTGTGGTGTTGATCAGTGAACGCAAACCTAAAGGGCTCCAGCGTTTGCGTGGCTGACCGTGGGAACCACGCAGCTGCAGATGCTCGGGGCTGAGATGAAGCCACGCAGCCAGCAGTCAGTCAGCCGTTTCGGCCTAGTCACGACCGAGAAAAAACGCGAAAGATGAGGATGTTCAGCAGCGACCGAGTCGAGCTATAGGTAGCTAGCGTTGACGTTGACGTACAGGTTGTTGAGCTTTCGTGGCAGTGCGATCAGTAGTTGAGCTGGCTGGGTAAAAATAACTGACAGACCGGGCAGCACGGAAATGTTAGAAGAACACCACGGCTCACTGGAGTGAGTCCTTGTGTCACTTAGTTTTTGCACATTGTGTCCTGAAATATTACTTCAAAACAAAATGTCACTTCTACATTGAGATCTGGGAAGTCTTGGGAACATCTTGATTGGCTTCAGGGATTTTTCCTTCAAAAATTAAATTTGTTTGGTTATGTAGATAAATGTAGGCTACTATAATGTAGATACATGCTTTTACATTTTTAAATTTTTACTTTTTTTTACTATTTAGACGAGAAGATTAGCACTGTAGATATAGTATGCTGCCATTTCTTAAAAAAATAAAATAAACAGGAAATTATGATTGATTTTGTTTCTTTTGCAAGTGGTCCATCAGAAGGTTAGAAATTAACTAGGTGGCAGTGATGCTACTCAGACCCTTGGATACCCCCCACCACACCACACCCTCACCTCCAAAACACCCTACCACACCACACCCTCACCTCCAAAACAACAACAACAAAAATTACATCTCGTAAATAAGACAGCTAACCAAATCTTCTGGGTGAAGCACAAAACAAGAATGAAAGTGTCTGTTTTAGGAGTGTATTAATACGTGAGTTTTGTGTTTATCTGTTATCTCTTATTCTGGACATGTGCTCAGATGATAGTTTATGGAAATATTTGCCGTGAGCCATATTTTTGTCATAGTGCTGTATGAGGCGTATTCGGAGTACGTATCCACGTTTGTTTTGATGAACCACAGGTTTATAACAACAGTCACAGGTGTCTCTCCAGAACTGCAGTTCTGATAAATGACATGCAAACAATAGTCTCCAAAGTTGATTTAATGACTTGTTCTTGCACCTTTGGTATCGCCCTGTGAGACTGACAGTATCACTGATATCCATCCAGGTTCAGAGAGTGATCTGTCTTGATGTTCACCTGAGGAATTCTGCTGTCGTTAAAGATTTATTATCGTTATATAAGTGCAGCAATAATAAATCATACTAAACAAAATATACACAATATGATGTCAATATCCACACTGCAACCTTGGAACTTTTGCTTTCCTTACAGAAATAAAATAAAATATGGGCGGTGGAAGCATAAAGAACGAATTGTGGAAAGTTTCTTCAGTTAATTAGAGGATTGTGAAAGATTAGTCAGCAGGAGCTTAATAAAAAGTTGAATCTTCATGCTCGGGAGTTGGCTCTGTAGTGGCTGTGCTTTTAGTGCTATTGTTGCAAAAGAAAATAAAAGGTTCAAAGGAAAGACGCTTCAAGTAAATGAAAGGAAGTTGTCTCTCAATCAAAGTGCTGCTGCTGCAAAAAAAACAGAACTCATCACTAAACGTCAACACTTTTTAAATGAAGGGTTAACAGCATGCAAGCTGAAGTGAGATTAACCTGATTTTTAAAAGATTTTGGGAAGAAGTTGGTTATCGTGATGGTATTTTTTTATAACTATAAATCAGGACTCCTTCAGAGTGTAAAACAAAGTATCAAAGGTCAAAGGATCCATTATTGTAAGGTAATATTTTTGTAAAATTTTGGAATTAAGTTGACTATCTTGGTGGTTGTTAAGCTAATACTAAAAAAAATACTTTAAACCCTATCATGACTTTTATTATTAAATTGGTTAAACTTTTCAACTAGTAACTTTTATGCAGTTTTCTGAAAAACAAGTACTCATTCTTTGCAGCACAAAAAAAAAGCCAACAAAAACAGAACACTGGGATACTCGAGAACTCAGCTGCAAATGACTGTTGTACAATAAACTAGTCAATTTAATCAATGGTTTGAAGGTAGAGATGGTGAAAGTAGTTGAACTTAAATGCCTGGTATAAACCATCTCACAAAACAAATGGTGCACAAAAGGGTGCAGACAGGGTGGAGTTGGTAGAGATGTGTGTTAAAGGTGGCGTCTGACAAAAGGAGATCAGAAGGAATAATAAAGGAAGATTAGTAAGACACCAGTCTGACCTGCACTGTAACTGTGGTTACGATAAAATGAGGAGAGGCTGTGCTGCACTGGCAGAGCTTAAGATGCTGAGGTTGCCATTGTGGGTAAATCTGAGGGACAGGTAGATGGAGGTAGTTTGGAAAAGGGTTAATGAGAGACGGGAGGAAGATGAGAGGAAGATTCAAGAGAAGATTAAGAGAAGTTGTAGTTCCATACTACAGCATTATCACACCTGCTTACACATCTGCCCTACACGCAGAAGGTTCTGGGTTAGAGCCCCAGAGGAAACACATACTTCTAGGGGACAGCCTGTTGCAGCAGATCTGCTGTTCACGCAACAATGTCCCCAATGTGGGGAAATTCAAATTATTATTAATGATTATAATTAGTGAGGGAGGAATTGTTATGTTGGTGTTACATTAGAGAAGGAAGAAATGGTCGGCCAACAATACAGACTACAACGTCAGCTTTGTGCTTTTCTAGTCATCTGGGCTCTGATCCACTTCAGACAGAAACCCCATTTACCTACATATTCTGTCTATCGTCACTGGGAGTTAAGACTACTTGTATTGCTTGAGCTTTGCTTTGACATTGTAACAGGGCCTAAAGTTAGCAAGGTTGGGATAAATGTCTCTTCAAATTTGAGTCGGATATCACTCCTTGTCCTTGCTTACATTGTGCAGCTCTGTCATTTGTTCGACCCACATCAGCTACAGTTGTGAGCTCATTAGGACAGCTTTGCAGACAAACTATAACAAGTGTTGAGCCTGTATAGTTTGTTGCCATCCCTCCCACCTATGGCGATGCACCCGCCTAGGGGATCAAAGCTGTAATTAGCCTGGCATGGATTAGCAGTGCAGACTATTTTCCACTGTACTTGCTCCCACAGAGCCAGTACATCACACCAGCAGACAGCCCTCTGTCCCTCCTTCACTTTCAACAGAAGAAAAAAAACTTCCCGGGTTTGTTGACGCCATCATGAGACCATCCAAAAGTTACATTATTCATCATTTTTCCACTAGTTTACACGTATTACAGGCTCAGTGTGGCATTATGCTTTGGTCGATGTGGAAAGCTGTCCACATCTCTGTCTCTTGCCACATGCTAGACATCAGTCGGATGTGTTTTTGTCATGTAGAGTAGTACTGCTGACTCACCGCAGTGCCTGGTCTGTGTGTATGTGTACAGTATGTATGTTTGTTGGCTGTATCCTTGATGGCACCCCCTCTGCGTTAAGCACCAAAAACAAAAGTTCTTATTATTCCTTTGGCACTTCCAATGAGATTGAAGAGTACCGTTTGAAGTACTGGATTGGTTGTGAGTTTGAAATGCATTTAAATATTAATGGGGAAGTGTTGGAGATCTGCTTGAAATCAATGATAGGATAACCGTAAAGAGAGGCGTTAGGTGAGAGGGGTTGAAGCTGTCGCCAATTCAATTCTCTATGGATGTATAGAGTATTCTATATTTGTCGCTGGGCCTTTCTGGACAGACACTCATATTTCTTAAAATGAAATATGAATCACCTTTTTGTCATTTGATGTTTATTTTGGAATCCAGTTGTGGGCTGGAATGGATGGTTCAGTGGGCCTGAAGTTCATGATCACTGCTTACAACTTACAGAAGCATTTGGAACACTGGTTTTACTGACTTACTAAGTAACTTTTAGCACCCTCCACAGTCTTTTTTGCCAGAACAAGGTTTAGTGTTGGGAGAGATGCTACATATGGTCCAGCTCTCAAACAAACAGTTCAAACTAAAGATTTGTGCACTAGTGATGCACGGAGTCACTGTGTGAGACCACTGAGAGTAAGAGATGGGTAGAGTTTAGCATCAATGTTTTTTTTTTGTTTGTTTGTTTTTTTGGAAGCATGTTGTCACATTTGCTCCGTCATACTCAGAAGTTGTCTAAAACTAAATAGATGCCAGAGCATCTTTGGTTACAGACGCCTTTGAATTTTTGCCAGTTATTTGTTGTGGAGGCATGGTAGTAAAGACACAGAGTTTATTGGCCTGAGTATAAAAAACAATTAAACATAGACTTTCACAAAACATCCAGAAACCTAAAAGCTGTTTTTTTTCTCTGTGCTTAGTTCTGTGTTTAGGTGTCTTGGTTTTAAAATACTAGAAGTGAGTGATTTCTTGGCATAGGAAAGTCTGGCTTGGGTTCCGCATCTAATGCTTATTAACTTGGCTGCTGTTGTTATCAGAACTCATTTTTCCTGCGAGTTTAATATCTTTGCATTTGTTGCAGTGCAATGGCATCAGTTGAAAGGAAGCTGTTGCTGCTTTTGGTGTTCCATGAAATAAGTTTGACTTCATAATTATTATGTGTCTCCCGGGTGGGAGGAAGTTCAAGTGGTCCGCCCTTTGACTCTTTCTTAGTTGAGCAAGTCAATGTTAAAATTTGCATTGAATCATATTAAAGTAATTGTTGGATTGAATTAGTCCATGTGTTAAAGCATTAATTAATTCAATCCAGTCTTTCAGACACAAAACTAGTATTGAATCATCACTGTATACTTTCCCTTTGTAACAAGTCTAAGCCCGTAACACCTTACACATCTCTCACTCTCTCAGCATATTCAGGTCATATCTGTTGTTACTACTTTGAAAGTTAAAAAGTTGTGTCCTCTCTATTATGTTTTTTGGGGATGAATTCCCAAAATAAAATCCTGAAATACCGTCCCAACGATTGTTAGCTTTTGTTCTTAACACAGTATTTGCATTATAAGTATTTGCATGTGTCTGTGTGAGGAGCAGGGAGGGTGGAGCCTTCACATTTACCTGTGCAGCCGTGTTGTGACTCACCCTATCCATTCGTTGGAACCCTGTGTATGTGTGTGTGTAGTGGGATGCAACGTGTACCCATCCCAACACGTCTGTTCCTGCAGCTGCAGCAGAGCTAAATATAGCCTGCGTTGTGCGTACGCCTCAATTCCTCTGGCCCAGCCCTCAGGAGATGCAGAGAATTAGGGGGATTGTGCAATTTTTACTTTCCTCACATGTATTCGCTCTATCTATATTTTGCCTTTTATTTTTTACGCTACTCTTTATCACTTCATACAAAAACAATATTGTTTCAAATATATTCTTGCCTCACCGTTTTAGTGAGGATTATGCAAAAGTACAACTAACGTGGTACGGACAGAGGAGGGACAAGCCTCACTCTGGTTTTAATAATTCATGGCTGACCAAGTTAAGCTGAGCTGACCTTGAAAAAAATCCTCTAGTGTTGAACTTTTGAAACCCAGCAGTGCTGGACTGGGTCAGAGAGAAGTTGTCACAAACAACCAAAAGCACACAATGTTATATTTCCTAATACTGCAGAGTGCACCTTAGTGCTGTAAATATTTCATACAATATGGAGTGTGTGTGTGGAGGGACGGGGCGTGAAAACATTCTCTACATTGGGTGAAAATGTTGTCAATATTTGTCAATATAACAGAAAATGAACACAGTAATGTTAATAATGTGTATGGAGGTTCACTAGGCAACACTTTCTTTTGGTTTTTATTTTGCTTCTTGGAACACAGCTTGCAATTTTGAACATTGAAAACCCCTTTGCTGGCGTTATTCAGTTCTTGTTTCCACATAACATTCTACTTATTACCCAAGAAGTTTGAAAGCATTCTCATTTCCCATTCTTTACAGTGTACAGTCATATAAACACTTGCCACACTTAGATGACTGTGGGGAAACACTGCATCCTTAAATTATTCCTTACTGCTTACTAAGTTTCGATATTTTTTACCAACACTGCCATTCCACTCACTCATGTGGTATATAAATTAGTTTTTTTTATTTGACATTCAATAATTTATGTAACATACAGTTTCTGAAAAAAACATTGTGGTTCAGAGCACCTCTTTCCATAGATTATATGTAAGAAATGGATGTCACCAAACTGCAAATGTGAAGACTAGAGAAGAGAGAACTGAGAACTGTGATTTCTCTTTTTTTTTCTTTTTTTATATATATCAAAACATCATATCACATTCTGACTAAATGTTTTTGTTGGCAAAGACCATATTCGGTAATTTTACTCTCACACACACACACACACACACACTGACCTTCATGATGTGATAAGGTGATAATCGACTTTCTAGGTAGTGTTCTGTACTATCTTTGGTACATGATGCCTCAGGTCAGAAGACTGTGATACCGCTGCCTTGGAGAAAGTTGACAAGCTCCTTAAACCTCTCGATGACCCGACACCATGGCCTCGGGGAATCTTATCACGTTGTCCTTGCTTACAATTAGGAGTAAAATCCTCGCGTAACTGCAGACATGGTGCAACAGGCAGGAGAGAAAGAACAGCAAATGCATGAATCAAGTACTAAATCTTATGACAACAGTGTCTCTGCACGTTGGTTAGAAAGTCGGAGAAACGAATGCTACATTAGCACCAAGGGGAAACAACAAAATTTGGGTTGCCTCCGCAGTTTATCATATCTAGACAAAACAAGGCAACTTGAGTAAAATAGAAATCTTCTACAGAAGATGTTCAACAGCTTTTGAAGTAAAGACAGCTCAGTTCCTGTCCGGCCGAACCGTTGTCAATAGCTCGTGTACTTTGGCATGGTGTCATGCATGTCCTGTTTAGGGTGCAGGGTTTAAACTCTATGAATAACAAGCCAAAAAAATGAACCTGTGGAATTGTTTATTTTTAGCCTCATTCAGGCATCTTAGTAAATTTCACTACATTGGCATGCATTTACTGTTGTGCTTTATTGCATGAATTCCTCTAAATGTGAACTTAATTTACCAAGCCAAGAAAGGATGGATATGCTTCTATTGTACCTAAGAGGTGTACCTAGGGTTCAGTGTTCATTGGCTTAGCCTGACTTATGGGGACACAGTGAGTCTTGTTTCCTGTGTAGCTCACAACAGGAACAGCGTTTCTGTTTAAAGTATTCATGTCCACCAACACAGACGCCAGCAATGGTTAACATTGGCTCTCTGTACTTAGCAGGGCCGTAACCTTGTGTATGTTTACACTGGTTTAATGAGTCACTTAGTCACAGATACGTGTATGATTCATGTGTCTGCACTGAGTGATGACTACAGTGAGGTGCAGCGGAGAGCCTGCATTCAGGACTCTGTTGAAACAGAACACATCACAGATGTGTTTAACATACAGTACAGAGGTGGGAATCTGTGTGTACCTCAGCAGTCGATAACTATCATGGGGCCGACGACTGCGATTATGAGATGATTTAAAAAAAATGTTTTTTACAAAATACATAATTTTAAAAAAATGTTTTTTACAAAATACATAAAAAAAGACACATTTTAATATTTTTATTTCAAACCCACTTTTCTTTAATGCAAATATAGCTCCATATCCTCTTGGAATGAAAAGACCAATAAAATTGTGACACATGTTTTGTTTGTGAGTGACAAACATACATCTCACAACCTGATTGGTTCAACCTAGCCTGTTGTTTACATTGCAAAATTTTAATTTCTAATCTTTCAAAAGAAATTGTGACGCATTGGAGAAATTAATGTTTTTCACCATGAATTATTTTTTGCATCACCTGATGCAAATTCTTTATTTAACAGCCTAATACTCATGTGTGCTGAAGCCTATAATACGTGATATATTCCACAAACAGGCTTCACTCCAAGGGGCTGTAGGGTAAACGCATACAGTACACAGAGAAAGGGCGGCGGGACAGATTGGCACACGGAAAGTGAGCTTTCCGTCGTATGGCTGACTTGATTAGCATTCGTGTAGTGTTTGTTTAAAAGGTTGCACACCATGTTGATAAGTGAGCTGCAGCTGTTGTTGGCCCTCTGTCTGTGGCAGCTGATGGATTAGGGGAAAAAACAGCTTAGACTGTCCTTGAGTGAGTTAGCACTTTCACCTTTTCGTTAAATTTGATACCAGTGTTTTAATATCTTTTGTTGCCGTGCAGATGGATCCCAGCGATATGACAATGTCGGCAGTGCACACCACCATAACATGGGCATAGTTCTCACTTTGCATGCGTTTTATAGTATCTTTGTTGGAACACAGAGTCACACAGAGCAGAAATGAATACTCTGTGATATGCACAGACTGGGAAAGAATCACAGCATTTGTCAGTTCTCTCCAAGTTGTATCAGAACACTCGTATGTCTCTGTGTTTCTGACGTGACATCGGATGAACTGTTTGCTTTTGTCACAGAGAAGAATCATTCATACGTGCGTTCAAACTTCAGTAATCCAGTGGAATACATGCCGTGTGTTAACCTCTGTTTCCTGTCTTTGGTGTAACCCGGTACTACAGTTATCTGTAGGTGTAACAATGTCACTGTTATTACGGGGCTGGTACTTTCCCAATGCTTGGTATGTGAGCCCTGCCACAGGGCAGTGACAAGATGTTTTCACAGTCATTCCAGGCTCTTTATGATACAGATCAGATCTGAATCAGGTCAGTCAAAATGAGAACATCAGATTAAATTATCAACTGTATTCATTTGTTTAGAAGCAGTTTAAATATTCCTTAGGAATCATGGGTATAACTAATCTATTGTTGAAACACACGAAGTTAATATCATCTCCATGAATTCCTTGGGTAATAATTCCGATACTGATACAACTACAACTAGAGAGTATCTGTCGATACTGACATATTTCGACCAATATCAGACTGATACAGATCCTGAGTATTAGATTGAACCTTCCCTAGTATATATCATCATGGTTTGTCGGCGTTGCCACTCTGAATGTGTATGAGGCTTATCCTGAAATACCTCAAAGAACCAACAAAATATGGGTAAAAGAAAAACAATTTGAGTGTGTACTGTACTTATTGCCATAATCCATTTTTTGTGGTCTACCCATGTACACATTTCCTTGATTGCCATGTGTTTGGTCTTGCTTCGTTTGAAATATAGTTTATCATTTACTTTTGATTTTGTGTTTTTCCTAACACAAAGACCATGCTTTGATTTTATATCTTGTGTGTTTTCAGCTCTAACGAGTCACTCAGAAAGTATGCTGTTATCTAGCAGAGCGGTATAAACAGCATCTTCATAGAAGGGTGCAAATCGTTGTTGACAAACTACAGCATGATAATCCACTTGACACTTGATGAATTGCTCATTTAAACGTCCTTCAGATGAACACCAGGTTGTGTTTCAGGGTCCCTGATGTGGCACGGTCTCCGTCAAAGGGACACGGAGCAGAACACAGTGGCTTTTCTACCCACACGCCTCCTGTGTCACTATAACCCCAGTTTTTGCCACATTCAGTAAACAGAATGGGTGTGGATTCTCAGGATACATTTTTAGCAGGCGGGGACGTTAAGTTGGCCAGCTGACTGTTGCTATGCAACAATGGGGAACTTGTAAATGTGTTCCCAGTTGCGTGACTGAGAATAACCACAATACAGAGTAAATATGTGACAGGACAAAGCATGCCGTAAGGCATCGTAATTAAAAATGTCATGATAAATGCATGCTTGATCTAATCTTTAAACACTAATTTCACACATGAGCTATGGTTATGTTGGTGTTTTCTGATGTGCAACGACAAATGTTAAAACTCAAAATTAACTGAGAGCTAACAACCGTGTGTGTGTGTGTGTTTAGTTGCCTTTCCTGCATACTGAGATATTGCCAAAAAAAGACAGGACATCAGTGAGTTGCCTTGGAGGTTGGTTTCTCTGGCAATTAAAGGATTTTATTTTTTGACTAATTTTGCAATTTAATCTTTGTAGTGTCAAATCCAGAATTTGATTTGCGATGTCCCAAATGCAGTCTGTACTGTGTTGGACTAATAGAGGGCTGCCATTTTATCACCGGCTCAGTCCATAACCATTACAGACAGAATTTCTTGGCAAAGCTGTGTGGCAGAGAATGTCAGGTTCAGGGAGTTTAGAATACCATTACTGATTCTTGCAGATGATGTGGCCCTGTTCCCATTATTGAACACTGATCTTCAACTTGCACTTGGCTTGACCATTACTGAGTGTGAAGCAGTCACGATGAGGATCAGCACCTCTATGTCCCAAACATTAGTTCTCATTAGTGAAATGGGAACTCTGTTGCCCCGAAGTAGTGGAATTTAAGTATCTTGTTCCCATCACTCAGAGATGCTTGGACGGATCAGAGCAGTGTCCACAGTGCTTGGTCCTGGACTTCTGACTAATCTTTGATATTAGTATTATATTAGATATAAGTGTAACCTTAGAAGAACGATACCCATAACAAAGTGTAACCTTAGAAGAACGATACCCACGATGGGAATTATCCTGATGAAACTTTGATACAGTGATGTTGCTTGGATGTTTGTATGTCCATCTCTAACTGATTCTGTTTTTGCCTTGCGTTGCAGGTGAACTCTCAGTGAGAGACAAATGTGTGACAAAGCGGACAACCATTCACCTCTCCCAGTGGAGATCTGAATTCTGGGACAGTGAGGTAAGGACACTGAACTGACCAACTCCCTCACATTTTGTGATACTCATTAACAGCTCACAACTATTTTAACTCCATAGTACCTGCTTTTGTCTCTTGTCTAAACTTGGTTGAAGTCTGAAGCAATTGGACTGCAGTTTCCATGGTTACTGATAAGCCTTTTCTTGGCGAATTTCACTTTAGTAAATCTGTGACAGTTTGACAAGTGGAAGGAAGTTAATGAGTCAGCCTTTTGTGAGGAGCTGAACAGCTTACAGAGCGGTGCCCTTCATTTCACACTGATTGTGTGTTGAAGACGAATATCTCACTCACTCTCTCCCTCAGATCATAATCTGCTCATGAGGGGGGTTCTAGAACGTTAAATTTCCGTATTTATTTCCACAACTGCACCATGTGAGGAGCTACTGAACATGTTGAAGTATATTTGTTGCTTCAATCAAAAACAGTGCAAAGACACAGTGTGACCACTCTACTCATATATAATAGTAATAATAATATATAAAACAACTGTTAAAAAATGACAATTAATTATATTTTGACAAAAACTCAGATAAAAGCAACGGCTGTTTGTCATTAAAGATAAGAAAATATTACTAAATTAACTCTAAAATCAATTTTCAAGTTACCATCTGCAGTATAACATGTCACAAAAAATCCTTAAAGAAAACAATGGATAACTGTGATCTAAAAACTGTTACTGCCTGTTCTGAAAATTCCAAAACACAAAATCACTCAAATTGGCTCCATCATGATGTGAATTGTCAGAAATCCTGAGTCTTCTGCGGGATATTTGTGCCAATGTAAAAGCATTATACTCTTGGTGCTAGATTTGATAATAATACTGAGGTGTCCTTTTCCACTCCTTTGCTTCATTCGCAGCCAAGGTTGTTGTTTTTACATTGTCCGTCTGTCTTTAATCTCCCAGGATTATCTCAGGAATGTACACTGGGCTCTCAGTGTTAGGGAATGCATATTGTTTAAACATCCAGTTGGAAAAGACTAAGAGTTTTAAGACAACTGTGATATTGCAAAAACATTGTAGCTTCAAATCGAAATAAACTGGAAATTGTTAAAATATATATATGTATATATATGTGTGTGTATATATGTACATATGTGTTTATATATATATGTATATGTGTATATATGTGTTTGTATATATGTATATATATGTATGTGTTTGTGTGTAGTACATGAACATATATACAGTATTCTGTATGCATACATGGATGTACGTTCAATGCCACATATATATCCAGATTCCTTGGCGCTTGTACAGATCCCTGTTGTTATCTGTGAGAACGAAGTGAGGTGGAGTGAGGCGTGTCAACACTGTGTCTCACTGTGGGAGAGACGGCATGAGGAATGTGCACATGTACACACTTTATTATTGTTTGGTTGCGTTCCAAAAGGAACTGTTTGTGACCCTCCCAGAAACGGTAGTTGTTGAATCTAACAACATGAGCGTTTTCTTCTTTTTTTTTTCTTTTTTTACTTCTGCTCAGTGGTTTAACCTCAGTTCCGGTAACTTGCACATGTCGGAAAGTTTGCAAACCCATGACCTAGAAGGAACTGTGTTGAGCTAATTAACAACAAGGTGTTTGCTGTGGGAGGACAATACTGTAATAAAAAGAGAGAGAACCATATATCAGGGTAAAATATTTCAGTGTTAATAGACTGTAAGAATATTTGGCTCATACTTGTTTTTGTCTCAAACGTGGCTCTTGTACATAAATATTGCCTTGGACCACTGCCTAAATAAGGGACAGAGCTACACTGTTATGTAAAGCTGTACACCCCCAACCGTGGTGTGACATGTTCCGATGTTTAGATGAGACAAAGTGGAACACAAATATTGAACTTCACACCTACATTATTGGAAAAAGTTAAATGTAAAATGAGATCTAAAATAAGTCTTTTATCCAGACATATACTACCAAGGCTTGGCTAGGCTAAAATAATACCACTAATATTCTTACATTTCCAACCTTTTAACCTTTAAGGTGTCTGATTAAAAAAAAAAACTTAGACTGTTGGTGTCTAGACCAGGCAGAGAAGCCGGTTGGAAACAGGACTGTTAGACTGATACATGTGACTGACATGTAATTGTTCCTTTTCTTTTTAACAAACAATATTACACTGTTAACCCTTTTTTCTTCGCTCTGATTGGCTGATAAAAGTTTAACATTCATTAAAACCATACCGACATTTACAAATGAATGTTTGCAAACCTGTTTGATTTAAACTTCCTTTTTGGCTTCAGTTTTCTCTGTTTCAATGCAACAGCACCTGAGAAACACAGTGGGTCTTACTGAGGTTTGGAATTGACAGGATTAGGGATTAGGATTTATTCAGTGGATCAACCACTTAACGTTTCAGACTTTGAGTCGCTGCTAGTTCTTCTTCTGTATACTGTGATCTAGACCGGCGCTGCAATAGCAGAGAGTAAATTCTGTCTTGGATATGGTTGACAGTGTAATTAGTGTTGTCCCTGTGTGACTTTCTCACTTTTTATACTGTTCCAATGTAATATTATAGTTTTTAATTAACTCTGCATCCTCCATAAAGCTGGTATTATTAATTATTCTCATCTCTCTGTTGTTTTTTTTAAATCTATAAATATCCATCTCTGCTCACTGTGTGTGTGTTTCTTTCTCCACCAGGCGTCCAGCTGGGGTCTCTGAGGAAGATGCTGGGTTCAGAGCGCGGTGTTGTAGAAGAATGGCTCTTAGAATTCAAGGTAAAGGCTTCTCCCTTGTTCCTGCTTTTATTTTTGTCTTTGCTCCGTCTTTGCCTAGACGCTGACATCTTGTTTGTTTTGTTTTGGAGAAACCACACAGTGCAAGGGGGGAAAAAATGATGAATTAAAAAAAAAAAAATCATCAAATAGTCTCTCTCAGTATTTGTGTCAAAGGCTACTTGTTGCTGGTAAATCCTGTGAAGTATTTATAGGGTTTACATAAAGATGTTATTCACAAGTCGCTAATCTTTTAGTTTCCACGCAGGTCCTAGTGGGCATGCTTCCCTTTAAACTGCACACTGTCGGAAAACTGTCGGAAAATAAGCAGTGCTGTGTACATGGATTATAAAGTTGTACCTATATACTGTATATTTATATATATATGTGTGTATATATGTATATATGTATATATATATATAGCTATAGATATAGATATATATATATATGACTTATACCAAGATTATCAAATTCCTTAGTTTCCTCATCTGAAATCTCTCAGTTGAAAAACAATACAAAATAAAGGTGCAAGATGAGACTTGGCCCAAAAACTATGCAGCAGTATCCATTGTACTGCATTAGCAATTACTGTTCAAGGCTGTCTTGGCCTTTGACTCTTTAATGTCCTCACATTTGAGATGGTCAATTATTAAAAGAGGAAAAAAAGATGAAGGGAATACAACGACAGAGACAAAGACAAAACTAGACGAAACAAGAGGAAGAAATACAGGATGTGCAAAACACGTAGGTACGTGACTGAAGGGGAGAAATACTGACTGTGTACTGACCAGCGAAAGAAATACCTGGACTGCTGTGACTCATGGAACACTGTGTGCTGTCCTTAAAATGGCCTTGCTAATGCTTTGTGAGCATGTCTCACTGATTATGTCATCATGATAGTCTAGAGCAGATGTATTTCGGTTGTAAATATAATTTATTTAAGAGATTTAAAAAAAATGTGCATTGCCCTAACTGACGGAGATTTTAAAAAAATGTGCATTGCCCTAACTGACGCCTAAAGCTATGCAATCAAATAAAAAAAAATTGATTTGTTTTATTGTTTTTGGGTAGGTTTTAATGGGGAGGTAAGCAAAGAAAGAAAAAAATGTTCATCAGTGATTTCAGTAAAAAAAAATCTGAGTCATCTTGTCGTCCTGTTTTGGCTCCAGTCTCTACCAGAAACCCACATCCCCAGCTATGCCGGCAGCCTTCATCTAAAGAAGTCCCTGGTGCCGGCGCTCTACAGAGTTATTCAGGACCCCAACAATGAGGTGAGGCAGAGGGCACACGCATAATTCAGCTCAGTGTGCTGCTCATGACTCATGCACACGACACATGATGTGAACCTCACAGCCAGGTCTGCACACAGTACACGTGCACACTCAAACACAAGCACGCAGATCTGTGGGAGAGTGTCATAGACGGGCAAAAGTGCCACTCATATAACCTGTGCTTTGGCACACAGTGTTCTGCAGCTCTCTCACACAGACTGACTATCTGCAGCCCACACTGGGGAAACAGACCTGAAATTTAAACACAAAAACTCTAGTTAGTCTACAAAACGTAATCCCTTAAAAATACATAAATAAAAAATATGTATATATATATATGTATATATGTATGTATATATGTATATGTGTGTATATGTATATATATGTATATGTGTATGTATATATGTATATATATATGTATGTATATCTATTTATATATATATGTGTGTGTATATATATAGTCATGCCCCCTTATATATGTATGTAATTGTTTCCTCCTTTCCTGTCTGGTCCAACTGTGCTATTGAACAACTATGGGTTGTCAAATACCATCAGTTATTGGATTTGCGGTGCGTGGACTTTAATGTTTTGCGTTCGGGTCGATCGGTTTTCCCACTGATTTACACAAAGGGTCAAACTCCGAGCCGAGGTTTATTAATGAGTTACGTCTGATTTCAGGTCAGTTACGGCACACACACTAGAGTCTGGGCAGAATAAACACATTGACTGGGCTGGCTCCACTGAGAATACATCTGAGCAGACTTTATTGTAGTGATTTATCCCCTCTGCTCCCAAACACCTCCCACTACTGAGCAGCCGCAACAAGGCTTTCCAGTCCCTCCTATCATTATGGATGGAGTCCATTCATTGTTTTGAAATAAGATCTCTGATGTAGATTCTTCGCTTAGACAGGTTCCAGTATGGTACTGTAAATCAATGAAACACTTCATTATCAGGGTAATACATATCTTCATTCTCTATTTTGCTGAACCATATTTCTTTGATTGCAGTGTAACTCCAGGTTGATCAATCTGTGATTTTAGATTTTAAAATGCTCTAATTAGTATTATTAAAAAAACGATTCCATCACTAGCCTCATGTTCTATTAAACCAGTGCTTCTTAATTATTTTCAGTCATGCCCCCTCGCCCCCCCGACTCACATCCCCCTGAATTGAAATACTATTAAGAACCTGATAACATAACATGATAACATGATTTTTTATCTGTACAAACCAGTGTATGAGTTGCTGCCACCTAGTGACTGGAGGCTTGTTATCATTCAAGCATTACAGCAGTGGTACACTTACGTCCAGCATGCCATATTCCATTGGAAGTCCCTCACGTCCCATCTGGCACCTCAACACGCCCCCCCAGGGGTGCCCGCCCCACTATTTGAGAAGTACTGTATTAAACTAATTAACATCATCGTCTGTCTTCTGGTGCAGCTGCTGGAGCCTGTCTGCCACCAGCTGTTTGAGCTGTACCGGAGCTCTGAAGACCGCCTGAGACGTTTCACTCTGCAGTTCCTGCCTGAGCTGGTGTGGGTTTATCTGCGTGTAACGGCCAGCAGGGATCGCCAGAGCAATGGCTGCATCGAGGCGCTTCTTTTAGGAATCTATAATCTGGTGAGTGGAGTCTTTTTTTTTTTAATTGGTGACTTGGCATAGGTTTGTTATGAGATACTTTAGGTAAAATCAAGGACACTTTAGTCATATTATACCACCAAACAACACAATAACAAAGGCTTTCATTCAAGGTTTGAAAACTGTCTACGTAAGGAGCGTTTTGTTTCCCATGCGTCGTTTAAGGAAAAACTTAAAAACAGATGACTGATTTTCCAGTCATGGAACATATGGAAAAATAGAAAAACACATGAGTTATCCTGGAAAATTCTCTGTCCTCCATGCTCATCTGTGCATTGTGAAAGACGACAAATGGATTTAAAGTATATGTGCATGGAACTGGAAGTATTAAAACACATTGTTTCTGTGCTTCCAGTCAGTGCAGCGCCCCCGTGTGACACTACCGACCAACCATATTGCATGTTACCTCAGAGCAGCTCTTCAGTTCCTAGTTCTCAGTCGACTTTATCTTTAGATTTAGCGACGTGTCCGACCTTGTTCAAGACTCGACACCTGGAGCCCAGTCTTTAACCCCGGGACATTCACTGTTAAAAGCATATATTTCTTCTAAGGTTTAAGCAAACTTTGGTCAGTTTTACAGTCCTTTAAAAATAATCACTAGCTCTAACTCTTTAAAGCCATGTTTGTAAAAAAAAAAAACAGACACAGGTGGAGCTTCAGTGAGGCTGCTTGAGTGAGTGTTGACAAGAAAAACGATCTGGAGGGAAAAGCCCAGTTAATGGCTAAGACAAGGGATGGATTGCATCATGAGGAAACACCCTTGGGGGAACAAGCTAAGAGCTGTAGATATCAATAGAAAGAGCACCATGTGATCTGGCACAGCTAAAGGTATATCTATGCATAATTTAGGCTTTCTACCACCACACACACACATGCACACTGAATATGATCGTAGGCCTCTGTAAAGTGCTGACTGCTCTGATAAACAGCTTTTGCTCTCAACAGCCACATCAGATATTCAGAGATATACTGCTGCCTTTAAAGGGCAGGACAAGGCTTGGACCGAATATCAGAGGAAGTGTGTTATAAAAGCCTCTCAAGCACCGCATTTTCAAAATCACCGACACTTGGATGGAAGAAAAGAATCACTTTCGGCCTCTCTTTTCATCAGTCAGTAGACAACGTAGTGATTTTGTCCATCTGTTTTACATTGGTTTCCCTTCTTTACAGTGCATTACCCACTTTGGGATTTAGAAACTCCTTCCACTTCTGACAAGTATTGTAGTGATAGGTCTAAGAAATGTTTTTTTGTGCATAGCATTTGTCGCTATTTCTGTTGGACAGAGTCGGTCAACGATGTCTACCAGCCCGCCACCGAGTAGATACAGTTGGTTTGTTGAAAAAAATCCATTCAGCTGCTTGTAATTGGTTTACAGTGCAGAGAAGAGGGAATAACGAGTGTTTCCAATGAGCTAATAAGGGCTAAAGCATTAAAAACACGTGGTTATTCTATCGAGTGTGACTGGTGGGGACGCTCGGCTCATTACACATACTTTATTTTCCATTGCATTGCCATTTCCGCAAATGGCCTGACTTTAGAGTGATCACAGTCAATAACGCATGCCAGCATGGACCATGACATTGGGTTGTACTGTGTGCCAGTAAATGTTCCAGCTGACCCAGGGAGAAGAATTTCATTGGACTTAGATTAGAATTATAAATTGTCTTTTTTGTACACAACTGCTTGTTTCTCTTCCCCACAGTGTCACAGAATTTTGTCTCACTTTTATGTTGCAGGAAATTGTGGACAAAGATGGCAACAGCAAACTCCTGTCCTTTACAATTCCATCGCTGTCCAAACCATCAATATATCACGAGGTAAAAACTCTTTCTGTTCCATCAGTCAATAGTTCTCACCAGGCCTGCCCTCTGAATGAAACCTACTGTGTACTATCATTTATTTTAGCACATTGTACAGCCTCTTCCTTCTTCTTGCTTTAAACTTCTATTTAACGTATAACAACTCCTCAGTGTCCAACACTCACAAAGGGTCCATTTCTTTAACGTTGCCTCTAAGGCTTCTCCACGTATGTGTACGAAGGTGTCGGCATACTTTGAATGTTTAGACCAGAGCATGTGATGGAGTGGAAGATAGGGTAATATTTTTATTATATAAGTGTAAGGTTAATGTGTGAGAGCTGTGTACGAGCCAAGAATACTCAAATGAACAGAAGTCACATCAGTACCAATACCAGAATGGTCTTAGTGATTGTCACAGCGGGTTAGACAGACAAACCACATATTTAACACAACCAGCTGTCAGAAAAGGAGGGAAGGTAGTGATGATTTAAAACACCGTTCTCAAAGTGGGGGGCGCTTCCGGCATGACAACATCTAAACTAGAAGAACGTTGTCCATATACAATGGAAATGAACTCTTCTACGGCAGAAGGTGTTTGAGGTATGATAGTGATAGATGTGGTTGTCCAATGGGGATATTCCCATCCCCATTGGACAACCACAGGGCTGGGAATTGTGTTAGGTTCAAATTCACCAGACATGCTAACCTTAGATTATTTAGAGTTCACACAGAGCTAGTTTGTCCTGTTGGCCTTTTTATCCTGATACCAAGGCAGTGCAATATATTTTTATATAGTACGATGACCCTCAGTGGCTGCCGCTCTCGGTGTGTTGGTGAGTATTGATGAGACTCGTGTGCTGTGGGCGATTTATCGCAGTAATTACCAGCCCCAGAGAGTCTCCCCCTCACTCTGAAAGAGAGAAAGAAAGCAGGGAGGCAGAGGAGGAGCTGTGCTGAGGGTGCGTGCACACGTGCTTGAACATGCAGAGCTTTTCATTCTCACACAGCAGCTCTGCACTTCACATGACTTTATCGCCACGCCTCCGGCATTATCATAAACTCAAGTCAGCCTTTCAGTGAATGAACGACTCTGCCCTTCCTCTACAATTAGTCCTTCAATAAAACGTTAAGAAGACAACAGAACAAAAGTACACACCATGTCTTTTATAAGTTTTGAACCTTGTTCTATGTTTTAAGAGAGGTTGAAGAAGTAATAGCCATGATAATATATGTATTATAACTGTTATTCTCACTGGACAAAAGAAATTCAGTTACAAATGTAGACAGTTTCTACACAGTGGCACAAAAGTTCCATGCTCCACTACTGGGGTCCGCTCACCACTACACTAATTTTAGAGCTTTTTGATGAGGGAGGGTTTATAACGTGCCTTAAGAAAAGGAAGTTGTGATCAAAGAAGGGTTTATAACGTGCCTTAAGAACAGGAAGTTGTGATCAAAGTGATCAGTTTGATGACATTTCATTGTCAAAAAAAAAAAACCCACACATGGCTCAATAAATACAAGATGTTGCTTTTGCTTATGTGTTTAATCCTTAATTGGATTGGAATAGATGGGATTGTTAGGGATTAAAACCCAGAAGACAATCCAACTGTCACCAATAGCTTGCAGAAGTTACTGCACTTGAGGTAGTGAGAAGATAGTAGAAGTCTTCGTGAAAATGGAATCATTTTATAAATTCTCAGACTGTTAGACTCCGAGAGTCAAAGGCCTAAGGCCTGAAGTCTAATCTGATTTCACTGCAGTGAAATGTAAACACACCTACAACAGTTCCTTTTTCTAAAGCACAGTCTCTGTGAGTCAGTTAATAATTTGAAGGGCACCTCAACTCGTTAGCACCTGCGTGGCCTTCAATGACTTCAGTGCCAACAGAACAGTGACAGGTTATTAAGAGCCAACAAGTGTTTAATTAAGTGTGTGTGCGTGTGTGTGTGTGTTTAGCCTTCTAGTCTGGGGTCCATAGCACTGACGGAGGGAGCCCTCTGCCAACACGACCTGATTCGGGTGGTGTACAGTGGCCTCCACCCTCAGAGAGAGACCTTCACAGCCCAGAACAGGTACTGCTGCAGCTCAGCCAGCTGTTTACTGGAAGTCCATCATTTCATCATACATCAAGAGATAAGTTTGCTTCGTCTACAACAGAGGTGTCAAACTCATTTTGACCCACGGGCCGCATACAACTACTACAACTAGTTAGACTATAATAAAAACAAGATTATTAGATATTATTATTATTATTATTATTTATTCATATTTAACACCGCAGGCCGGATTTAAAACCCAAGAGGGCTGGTTTTGGCCCCCGGGCCTTATGTTTGACACCTGTGGTCTAGAGATTGAAGTATTAGGACAAAAGAAAGTTGTTTTTTTTTAAATAACAATAGCATTTGTTCTACCTTGCTGCTAGATCTCTTCCAGTCAGACTTTATACTGAGTGTATTTTGCTTGAGCCCACCCTCAAAATTTCAAATTCAAGGCACGGAGATGGCACGGCTGCAGAGATGCCTCAGGATCCTCGATAGATGCAGTCGATGAGGTTGCCCTTCTGCCTGTCCGTCATTTACTTATTCACAGACAGAGTTTCCTCGTTTCTGGTTCTGAGCAAAATTAATCAGCGTATTATCAACAAAAAACTCAGGCCATATATTCCTTTATAAATCACCTTAATTCTCATTATTAATGATCTGTTAAAACTAATCTGAATTAGTTTCTCAGTATTTTTTTTTCTTTCTGATTATGGTCGCTGCAGGTTTGAGGTGCTGTGTTTCCTAATGCTGTGCTACAACTCTGCTGTGGTCTACATGCCCCTGTCTTCCTACCAGTCCGTCTGCAGGATGAGCTCACGGTAAGAGAGACGTTTGTGGTTATGGGTGTCCTCCTCAGTCCTTCCCTCATCTCACACTGTTAACTTCCTGGAATGAGGATTAAATCACCGTTGTCCTGCTGCTGTACACTCACCTCCACACCAACTGATCTCCTACCTGGAAGAGTTGTGTGTGATTTCACTGAAGGTCAGTCAGGTGGCTGCCTGTCATCGCCTTGTGTTTGCTTGGAACCGTCTGACGAGAAAGGATTGAAGAGAAATACACAATACGACGCTGTGTGCTGACTGACTCCACCGCCCAGTGATTTTGTTCAGCTTAAGGATGTGGACAGTTCAGGATATGAAGACGTAACAGACACATCGTACTGTGGAAGCTCAGTCTAGACAGACGTTCTACTGTGAGATCTCCATTGTACGTGGAACAATGCTCTGAACGTGAACTCTCCGCCGTCTGATCTGACCAGACCTCCGACTGCAAAGGAGTTAAACTTCGACTTCCTTTTCCGAGCGTTTGCTGTGTTTCATCATTGTTCCTCCAGCAGTCATTTATCTTGCCTTTATTTGTTCTCTATCTCATCTGTGATCTCACATACTTCCTAAGTTGGCACAGAATTAAAAAGAAAATGATAAAGGTTTTGTCTTGTAATTTCCTCTTGTTTTGACTTTGTGAACCTTGTGTGTCCCACTGCGTTCTCGCCACAGGTTGTGCATTTGTGGCTTCCCTCGGCAGCAGCAGAAGCTGTGGAGAGAACCCTGCAACCGTGTGCTCCTGGACCCAGAGTTCATGGTCCAGATGCTAACTGCTGTGTATCATGCCATGTAAGTAGACCAGAAAATGCTTAATTTATCATGTTGTAACGACAATATTGGAAATTTAAAATATTTTATATACCGCAAAAACCCGCGATAGAGCGAAAAATCTGCAATACAAGAATACATTTAAAATACAGATAGGGCCTCCCTGCACAGACCGATACACATCAGGAGTGTAATGTGGACGCAGATGATGTCATTCCCCCGTGAGGACGGCGGTTGTAAAGCTGATTATGGCTCCTTGATGACAGCTCATCGTCAGAGATGGATCCCCTGATGCTGCACCGACTAGAATCACTACTGTTATGGATTCTGTAGTAAGGAGAGTGGGACGGAATGAATGTGCATACTGCATCATCACCCCCCTGAGGTTACACTGCAGCATTAAGAAGATGGAAACACTCAGAGCTGCTAGAAAAGAAAAAAAACAAAACAAATAAAGGCAAAAAATCACCGACAGTGCTTCGAGGTGACAAATAAAGGCAAAAAATCACCGGCAGTGCTTCGAGGTGTGAGGGTGGAATATTAGTGTTTTAGTATAGGTCAGGGGTCACCAACTGTACAGTATTTGTTGGAGGTCTAGACACCATGGGGGCCGGACACTCGTCTAACATTATTATATTATGTTGTATTATTTTTGGAATCCAGCGGGCGGATTCAGCCCACGGGCCGTCATTTGGTGATGACTGCTGTAGATCATAGCGGTGGAAATGTTGTATGCACCTGAGAAGTCTAGTGTGAAGGGCGGACTCGCATTAATCCAGAGCTCCATTCTTCAGTACGAAGCTCCGCACTTGACATGGATTCACTTAAGATTCAGGATATTATGGCCCCAGGTGAAGTAAAGAGGTGCTCAGTTCGTATCATCCCTTTTAGTTCTATTTCCTGTTTCAGGTTTGGAACATGATGTAAGGATTTGGTGAGATCAGAGCACCTGTTTTTATCAGATTATTCAAAACAGTCTTTTCATCTCGAGACTAAAAGGAACGAAAGGCTTTGGTCTTGGGTTGTGTCATTGTTGCATTTGTGAGGAGAGATCAAAGAGCGTCCAGCCACGTGTCTTTGTTCTCGTTTTTTCTTTAATTATTAATTAATCATTTTTCCAGTTATTCCCTTATCTCTTTGACTAAATCTGGTTAGTCTTCATGATTGTTTCACTCACGGTAAGTTAAATAACTGGCATAATTATACGTGTTTTATTCTCTGGTGCATTTTCAATCCATAATTATACAACAGTGTTTTATTCTCTGGTGCATTTTCAATACATGGTTTTTATCCCTCACTTGATTCATTCATCACATTAAGGACCAAAAAAGGAGCATTAATGAAAAAACTATTTATTTGGGTTTCTACTTATAACCTTTTCTTCATCCTGGCTACAGTTGTTGGGGACGTGACCCAGAAATCAAGGCAGCTTGTCAACAGCTCCTGTTCACGCAGAGCCTTACATGACTTCTTACATGCCAATGTGACGTGAATATATGTGTCCTGCTGTGATTTCCAGATACAATGGGGAGTGGGAGATGGGGCGGGAAGCTCTGGAGGACATTCTATACAGAGCTCAGCTGGAGCTGTACTCCCAGCCTATCCTGGTAAGACCTCGAGCCTGGGGTGCATGGTGTTTAATTACAGCCACATTTACAACTACATTATCACAGCTTCACTAAGTGTTGAATCAAAATGAAACATAAATACAACAGTATGCTTGGGTATCATTTTTTTTTATTTCTTATATTTATATTTTGCTTCTCAAACACGGCCTTTTTGAGTGGGGTTATTATAGATTGCATTTCAAATAAGATTTTTAGCAATTAGTTTTTCTTGACATAATTGGTACGTGCTCTGCAGCCTTAGGTCCATTTTGCTTACCTATAAAACTTAATATGATGAACGCTTATTAGTGTTTTTTTTTTTTACTTTGTAATATATATTATAAATATTTATATTTTTGTAATGTACATTTTTGTATATAATAATATATATACTGTATTTATACAGTATATATATTAAATGTATATAATGTAGACACATTTTATTATTTTTTGTGATATAAATGTTTAATTTTGTAATATAAATTACAAAGCAGCCAATGAGCTTCATGTAATGCAGCTTTTGACCTATAGGAGTAGACTTGCTGTATTATCTTGAAACTACTGTGATACTCATAGATCTTCAGCATTTTACTTTCTCCTGGGATAAGGTGTAAACGAGGGTAATTTATAAAGTCTTTAACCATTTTCAGATCAAAACTTTTCCTTAATATTCCCTTCTCTGCATTGATCTGCCTTCATATGTGTCGTATGTCATGTCCAGTTGGGCAACGCCATGAGGAACTCGCTGCCAGACAATGCTCCCACTGAGCCACAGGGGCGCAAGGTGCTTCAGGTGGAAGTGACGCCCACCGTCAGTCGCATCTCTATCTCAGCCATCACCACCGCTTCCATACGGCGCCACCGCTGGAGGAGAGAGGGTAAGACAAAAAAAAAAGAAAAAGCAGAAAAAGAAAGTCTTTTGTTTCAGATCAACTCACAGAAGTGGAGCAGAACAGATCGCTGGTCATGTGACCGCAAAATGTATGAATGGCAATACGTTTCATTAATTTCTTTTTGCAGCAGGTAGAGGAAAGGAGCTGCAGACAGAAATAGAGTTTGTTTTACAAGTGTTGACTCATGGCAAAGGAAAAAAGGAAGAAAAGAGAAGGAAAAACCAATCACACCATTAGTGTTATCCTAATGGTGTTTCATGTCCGCCATTATACGTAACTGTGATCATATAGTCGCTGTGTTGCAGTACCATTTAATGCTTTTCTTTGTGCATCTCGTCTGTGTCCTGTGCAGTTTATCATAAGTTTCCAATTTAATTTTAATTTTTTTTAAAAATCTGCTCATCCTATTATACCCAGTAAATGGGTTATGGATGGAGTTCACTTAAAAAGTGAACATTTCATTATATTTTCTTTTATATACTTTGGTAATCCATCATTGGCCTGGAGGGGGCCATGATCAGACCCCTATTGGTTAAAGCCTGCTGCCTCTAAAGAAACACGTTTTCCTCGTCTGTGTTGTTGACTCCCAGATTGTTTTGACTACTCAACCGAAGCAGAGTTGAGCCTCGCCATCAATCCACCTAGCTTGGCTCAACACCACCACCACCACCTCCACCACCACCACAGTCTCTGGGACGCAGCAGCCAAAGAAGACCGGAGAGAGCACGCTCACAGCCACCACAGCAGCAGCAGCAGCATCATTCCCCCCATCACACTGGAGGGTAGGGGGCAGGGGTGGACACGCAGGGGCAGGGGCGCACGCGCAGGGCAGAGAGGGTCTTGAGGATGCGTGCGCTCTGCATATACATTCTCTTCATGCTCCTCTTTAACCTGAGGGGGCGTAACTGTGCATTTTCCATGTTTTGGCCTTCCTGTCACTTCCCCCAGAATCTACACTAACTCATCCAGAGTGATCCTATAAACCAACCACTAAGTCCCCTACAACTACATCGCTGCTATCTTTCATTGAACTAAGGATTGGATGGGTCGCCAGTTCTGGGTTTGAAGGAAGTGTGGGTGGTGGCCACTTTGCATGGACAGTTATCTCATCATATCCTGCTTTCATCACTGTACAGTGGTCCCTCTCCTATCGCGGTAGTTGCGTTCCAAGACCCACTGCAAAATGGGAAAAATCGCAAAGTTGAGGCGAGGTAGTTATTATATTATTTACGTATATATTTACGAACCTGCCCCACACTGTTATCAATGGCGACGCAGAGCGAAGTGAACGAGGGAGTGGCCGACAGACAACGGGAGATGCTGAGAGTTGCTACGATGCATGAGCAATCAGCATGAGGAACAGAAGAGCATGTTCAATTAGCCAATAGTACACCGAGTTCACATTGCATTAGCCATTAGTATGCTGTGTACGATCCTGTCTAGGTAAACAAAGCTACCAGCAAAACTTATTTGCTGTATTTTGCGATAGCGAAAATTTCGCAAGATCGGATCAAAAAAAAAAATCTGCGATGTACTGAGGGAGCGAAAGGAGAACCACGATATAGAGAGGGAACACTGTATCTCCATTACCTGTCCTTGTCACTCACTGAGCATATTCAGTGCCCAAGCAGGTGTTCTCAAATATATATATATGTGTATATATATATATATTATTTTTTATTTGTTTTCTTTTTTATTGCTACCTGAAATCTCAATGGCAGCTCTTTGTGGCGTCTTATAGCATCTATAATTTAGCGCGCGGCCCCTATTATATTTCGTGTATTGTTTTGCCTGTATTTAGCTCAGTGAGTGGGAACAAGCTTTCCATCATGCATGCGCACGCTTCGCCAAACTCTGACAATTTCTGCTGCAACATGAAACCCTGGAACACTAACATTTTAAACAACGAGGCCAGAGACCACCAGCAGATGAGTACCGTTGCTAGTGAAGCTGTTCCCCTGCCAGGCCCACTTTGTCTTGTTGCCTGTTTGTTTGTTTGTTTGTTTCCATGTTTGGTCTTAAAACGACAAATGTTCAGATTCTGACTAATAACGTTCAGTGTTTGTCCATAACCATCCTCTCTTCTTCATGTCTTTCATTGACATCTTGGTTTTTTTTTTTACTTAATACAACTTTTTCTTACCAAATGTATAGTAGGTTGTAAAACGTTTGTTGATTGAATTAAGTTTTTTTTTTTCGGCCATAGAGTTTTATTTAAATGCAAAATAATTTGGCACATTTGATGTCTGCCGCCATTTAGTGGCATCGACAGAAATAGCTGGCGATTTGTTGTAATGCATGAAGCAGAAGGGTTGACATCAGTCTTTACCATACCTTGTACCAGTGTTTGGCAGGCTGGACTAAAAAGCCCAGCGGGCTGTAACTGGCCCACGGGTCAGAGTTTGCCTAGGGCTGCTGTATTATTATTGGGGAAACCCCTATGGGATTTTTGAAAACATCTTACACCAGAGCTGACGTGGTATTACATCCATTTTTGTCACTTGTTACATCAGTCTTTGTGGTTCTGCCTTTGTGCTGTTCCCCAGTAATGAAATAGAACAGTTTTATTTTTAGATCCAGCATTTTTACAGTGTGTACTTAAGCACACTGTGATGGGGAGGGGGCGTTCGTTATGGTTCCAGTTCGATATGAGAGATAACAGAATAAGGACAGGGGTTTCTCCGTGCTGACTAGAAGTTAGTCTGCGCAGTTGTTGCTAAAACACAGACACACACACACACACACACATACGAAACCCTCTAAATCACAGTTGTTTGTGAGGCTCGGGATTGTCCCGCACACTGGTCGGCTCAGCCCTGTGTGCTGTGTCAACTCCCACTAGTGCACTATTGATCCGACGGGGCATTTGGACCCGCCTCAGTGGTCCAAACAGATTTACTGGTTTGATGTCATGTGACGGAGCACGTGAGGGTCAGGCCACAGTACCAGGAGAAGTCAGGGACCAGGCAGGGGAGCATGTGTCTTCTACTCCATGTCATGTGCATGTCAGTCCCACGGGTTTCCTGTCGTCCACTTCTGCTTGTCCCGACATGCATGACAGAGACAGATGGTTGTTTCTCTGCCCCTCCTTTTACAAGCGTCGCCCTACATTTGGCGAGAAAATAACATGCTTCTTTTCTCCTCCCTGACTATATTTATTCTCCTTTCCTTTCCAGCTTTCAAACGAACAAAGGACTTAGATGATTAATTGCTTCAAATTGCCAGGCTGTGATTTTTTTTTTTCTTTTGGTTTTATTTTACTACTTAAAGGTTGGTGTGTAAGATTTTAGAATCATGTGAATCAGAGTAGCGAAGGTTAAATTCCCTGTTGCCTTAATTGTATCCTCTGGCACAAGAGTCATGTTTAATTTTATTCGAATTCCTTAATTTTATCAAAACTAATTAATAAAAAATAATTTAAACTGTTATTGAAAGGAACGGCCAGTTTGCCACCAGTGATTACCAAGTGGTGGCCGGCAGGCAGAATCCGGCCTACCAGCCATCAAAGCTGGTCAAGTCAAATAATAACAAAAAATTTTATTTAGGTGAATCAGCTTGCAAATCACATCTTCAGGCATTCTTATTCGCAGCTCTTCTACATTCACCATTTGCAGTAAAATGTGAATTATTCTTATTAACTATAACTAAAGCTGACTTGAGGGGAAAAAAGGTTTCAGTTTGTTTATTTTTTCACAGATCAGTGTTTATATTAAAGACTTTCTGTCTTTCTCTCTCTCTCGGGGCATGTTCCTGTTCAGATGTGGACGGCATGAGTGGCGGAGATGATTCCTTTAACATCAACGACCCAGACGAGGGTTTCTCCTCAGGAGCTTCCAACAGCAGCCAGCCCAGCGGCAACAAGGCCTGCGGTAGTGTGGGGCCGAGGGGCGACAGCCTGAACAGCAGCAGTAGCAGCATCAAGAAAGCCATCGTAGCCCGACTGTCACGGGACAAGGACAAGGACAAGGACAAGGAGAAGGAGAAAGAACGGGAGAGATCCTCAGAAAAACCGGCTCATTTATCTGCGGAACCCCAGGCTCCTCCCAGGAGGCATCACCAGAGGCAGCAGTCGCCTCCAGCCAGCATCACCCTGGACGCCATCCAGCTGAGCCCCATACGGAAGCACCTGAGCTTCCCTGTGGGGCGAACACTGGTGCGGACTGGCAGCACCTCCTCCAGCAAGTCCTTTGATTTTATGAGCCTGAACCTGAACGAAGGCAAGGACGAGCAGGAGGAGCTGCTGGGAGGAATCGCAGACGAGGAAGAACACCTTCCAGTGGGGGGCGCCCACCGTCATTCCACCATCAGCTTGCAAGAGGAGTGCCTCATCAGGCCAGAGGAGGCGCAGAAGCTCCTGTCCCCTGGAGCTCCCCTCACCAAGCAGTCTCGCTCGCCCAGCTTCAACATGCAGATCATATCACAGGTGTAATGTGGAGTTCTTGGCCATGAAAGACACACACACACACGCAGAAAGTACAAAACACACACACATCCCGATGCAGTTTTTCCTTGTGACTCTTTACAGCTCTACTACTTCAACTACAGTCTACCTATTACCTGTGTGTGTGTGTGTGTATGTGTGCGTGCTTCTGTGTGTGTGCGTGCTTCTGTGTGTGTGCGTGCCTCTGTGTGTGTGTGTGTGTGCGTGCGTGTTTGTGTGCGTGTGTGTGTGTGTGTGTGTGTGTGTGTGTCTGTTAGTCCTAAACTAGAAATTTTATAATTGTGGCCTGCAGTTACTGAAAGTGCACCAGGAGTGAAGTAGTAGATAAAACCTTACTGTCCCCTGCTGTTACTACAGTGTAGTGGAAAAAAAAAAAAGCCGTTGAAATGGAAACGCAGTAAAAACATGGAGAGAAAAGTCATAAGGAGTCCACACTGACTGTAGTTCCTGACTGAAGGAGTCGTCATGAATCAGCAATAACAATCACCGTCGTTCATGTGGAGAGGAGTGAGTCTGAACTGTTGTCTCTTCATTCCCTCTGTCCTTCCTTCCTCCCTTCCTTTCTCTCTTCCTTCCTCTTTTCCTTCCTCTCTTCCTCCCTTCCTTCCCTGGTTTTCTTGGGCTCATGTGCAATCGTTCTTGCTGATTATCTTCCTTTTTTAAGTGCTGTCTTGTGGACAAGATTTCTTTAAATAATGGTTAATTACAATCCAAAGAAATTGTATGTTTTCTTGTTAGGATTTTGTTTTGGTCACCCCTCATTTTTTAAGTTTAATTTCAATGATCTGATTTAATCTACTGTTTTAATTGTTGAAAACCAAACTGATATTTGATACTCGTTTGTGTTCTTTTTTTTTTTTTCCTGGACTGTAGAAATCACTCCTGTGCAGCTACGAGAGAAAATTGATACTTGATTTAAAATCGAACTAACTGGACTAGTTTGCCGAGGAAGCTGAGGGTCGCCACTGTATGATATTCTGGATTGTTAATCTGGTTTAAAACCGTGTCACGGCTCAGATGAAAGCACTTGTTGGTGTCGTTTTTGTCTCAGTCTGTGCTGAGGCCGTGCTTGTGTCTAGTCAGTTGAACTGCTGCCCACTGGAGGCTTATTTTAGCCACTGTACGTCTGCTTTAACCGTGACGTCGGCTCCCGCTCTGCTCTCTGATTGGACGCTCGAGAAACATTTAGTTCTACCTCATTGCGTGTCCACCTGCTACATTCACACAGTCGGAAGCAGGATGTATTCTTAAAGGCATTATTACGGTTGAGGAGAAAAATGTTTTTTTTGTTTCTAGTATACTTAAGAAACTTACATTCATTAACGCTTTGCTTGATTTTGGTTTAAAAAACTGGTGAAAATCATAACCCCCTTTGAAAAATTACAATTGAATAACGATTAGTAAATATTCATTTAAACTAAAGTGGAACTCGAGGTTTATTTTTTATAAAATATAAGAAAATGTAATTACAAAATCAGTGTAATATAACCATATTGAAATATTGTAATAATATTGAAATTGAAACTTAATTCTCCCTCAGAAAACGTGTGTTGAGAATGAATCACTCTGTGTAAAAGAACTTAGAAAATACTTTGAACAGGATATCATTTAAAATACACATTTACTGGACTGAGATTGCAACAATATTTGAACCAGTAGATTATTCAAAGCTATCGACATTTCTTGTGCTTTTGCTTATGAAGACGCTGCGTCCTTGCATTTCACGTGACTAGCGTCAGGCGCAGAACTCAAGCTGCAGAACTGGAACCTGACAGTCTTTTTCAAACAACCACATGATGATTTTACCTCCATGTTCTGCTGGTCCTTTTTCTTACGTGGTGATGGTCTGAAGGTGCACTTCTGTTCGTGCATGACGTTGCATCCCGCCTGCTGTCAAAAGCCTGAGCACAGGTCATTCAGCTCAACTTATATATAGAGCGCCCCCTGCACAGACTGAGTGATTTTTTTTTTTTTTTTTTTTTTTAACCCGAATGGCTTGTATGCATGTGAAACGCCCCGTGGAGCACAGCTGGTTTTAAGCTGCGTAACTTGGCCAATACGTTTATGCCAGATGTGCCAATACACATGTATAATCTTAAATGTTTGTTTCGCTTGGGTGTCTTAATTTAAAATGCCTTCTTTTCGGTTGACTTGTCTTTTTTTTTTTTAATGAAATTAATTTATGACACCAAAAGTGAGATGTTTGGACAAACGGCTCCATTTGCCCTTAGTTGCCGCTTTGCCTTTTATTTTGCCCGTTTTTTGTCTTTCTTTCTCATTACGTGTGCGGCGCACTGTACTTCTGCTGTTGTTATTGAGCGTTGCTGTTAAAGGTGTCCGTGTGCTGTAGGTGTCAACTGCTGTGTTGTGCTCAAAGTCAACGGTGACTTGGTGTTGGTGACTTGGTGGTATGTTAAAAATCTCACACTCGTGCTCCTGCGCTCCTCCGAGCTCTGTGTGCTACATGTGCTTTATAAATATGTCAGACCAAAGAGCTTTAAGCACCAGCTCTTTGGTTCCTTCTCCTCCCTTTCCTCCTCCTGCTGGACTGGACTGAGAAGGAAGCAGGGTTTAAGGTGTAGCGACACACGAACACACTTTGACCTGCTCTGTCTGCTGTCATCCTCGTTACCATTTGATGTACTTTGTTGTAAGTGGAGTGGCACCTTAATGCTGGATTGTTTGTTTTTTGTTTGTTTTTTTAAACCTTGTCATGATGATAGTAATATATGAGCGATGCTGACTGAGATGAGCAGCAGGTCTGTACGCTTCTGTACATCCACCTTGGAGGAAATCACCTCAGTGTCTGGGTTTCTTTGTCTTATATACCAGGACAGGAAATGAACGTTGAATTATTTGGCAGAACCACAATAGAAAAATAATTAAATTAACCTACAAAATATTGTTGATTTAAAAGAATTTAAAATTGTGTTCGCTGTGTCAGCAACAGCTACCTCTGCTGGACAATGTTCATTTCCTGGCCTGCATGTAATAACTGGGCTTTGTCCATATACAGTAGAGTTAAATGCACTTTAATTCATCAACTCTCTCCTCAAGAGTTTATATATAGACGTTCACGCACGCACACATATATAAATATATATTAATGTATTTATATTTGTATACATGTATGTATAATATATATACATATATAATATATATAGTATGTATATTATATGCATATATGTGTATGTATACATACATAAATATATGTATGCAAATATACGTATTGTCCATATGTGTATGTATTTATATATGCATATATTTCCATATATAATTATATAGGATACAAATAAATATACACGTGAGTGTATATATACATATAGACAAACGTGTGTTTTGAAATACAAATATGTTTGTGTATATGTGTGTGTGTGTGTATATATATACATTTATGTATACATTCAATGCAGGGTTTTAGTATCTTCAAAGTAGTACTTCTATGTGATGTCACACTCAACACAATGCTATTTTTGTTAGTTGAATGGTACAGCTATCTATTTTTCTTTTAAAAATAGAGAGTATGTGATGTGGTGTGGAAGGTCTCAGGAGTTTATCAACACGCCACCTTTTTTTTTTTTTAATGGCAGCACCAAAACTTCTGTTCCTGAAGTCAGAATTGATTCTATGCAACCTTCTCCGCCACTGTTTTCACTATACAGGCTGCGGTCGGTAGGTCCCGGGTCAGGTGGGCTGGGGTCAAACTGGTTAAGCTAAATATTTTAGGTGCAAATCCTCAGCAGCATTTTCCATTCACCAATTCTGTTTATACACACTGTTGTGGTGCTACAGAGTGAAGGACTTCCCTCACGTGGACGACTGAAGAGGACCATCCATGTGTCATGTGATCGTCCTTGAAGAGAGAGAGAGAGGGAGGGAGAGAGAGAGAGGGAGACAACACTGCAGCTGGACTTTGGTGCATGTTGAGCCCTAACGTCAGTTTGCTGCTCTGTGGCTCAGAGACTGATGTATGAAATTGGAACAGAGTATCTGTGCTTTATCTGAGATGCTACAAGGGAAGATGCTGTATGATGTGAAGACACTGTACCATTGACGTTAATGTATAATTGGAGAGAAAGACTTATTTTAAATCTTGTAAATAACAGATGTACAAAGATGAGAGCAGAGGTAAATAAAAGAAAAATATCAGATCTGTCTGAAATCTAGGGAGAAATCTAATCTGTATATTGTTGAATAAATATTGTGATGTAAAGGATCTAAATGAATTATTTATTTTTCCCAAGCCGGACACTATTAGTTGACAAATTCTGATAGTATAAAGAGATTATGAAAATTCAAATACATGTCCTAAAGTACACTTCAAGTACTCTCAATTTAGACCTAAAAGTGATCACTAAAAAACAACTCTGTTCACGGTTATCATGGTTGAGGAAACGTCTTGTTACCACCTTGACAATTGTGAGATGTGTTAGATAAGAGTTCATAAAAGTTAACCCATAACTTCCTTACCTGCAATATCAGTTATTGCTAAAAACAATAACTTTTTGTGGCGTATGGTAGTAAAATGCTGACATCTAGTGGTTTATTTCAAGCATTGCTTTCTAAAATCTTTACCATGGAGTCTGTACTCTGGCATTATCAGACAGTTCTTTATTATCCTGAAAATAGTTTTCACATTCACTTGAATTATGTGTATATTTCGGTGTTTTCCCCCATGTGAACTGTGAACTTTGGCCTTTAGACTGCCATACGTGAAGTTACCAGCTCCACTTCACATACGCTAGCTTGTCTTGCCTGCACTTTCTGACACTGTCAAGCAGAAACTGTTCATTTTTACAACAGGGTGTAAACTGAGGAGTCAAACAATTTTAACAGGGTGTAAACTGAGGAGTCAAACATTAAAATGAATCACATTTTACCCATAATCACAGATTTGTACACAAATGTGTCGTGGTGGTATGGTCTCTCATCACTTCTTCTTTCATCTCACAGGCCGTCTGCATTCATGTAAAGCTCAGGTTCTCTAATAACTCAGGAAACAAAGTGTTGTTCTGTTCAGTAACTGGATCCCTTTAGTTTTATCCTCCCGAGGTGTCACCTGGCAACATGTGTTGACTGTATGGCTGTAACGCCTGCAACGCCACATTAAACATGGCACTCCATGTTGTCTGAGCTGGTCACAGGGGATAGGATCATCACTTCAGTACAAAGTTTGGAGGAGAATTTGATGACCGTAAAGAAGGTAAATTTGTTGACTTGCGAATCCTGATTGGATGGTGGTATTTTTTTCATATTAATAATTAGCTAGAGTACAGCCAAAGTCTGTTTCCTCTAATGTCCGATGGAATAATCTTGAAGCTTTTTCTCCACTGAAGGACACAATGGCGGAATATGAGGGTCAGTGTTTGTGCTGTCCACCGAGATGAAAATGTTTTTGTTGGATTTAAGAAAGTGTTGTCTCTAATGCTGTGGAGCTCACTGAGGGGGAGTGGTGTTAATGCAGAGCAGGTCACATGTCAGTCTGATACAAGCCTCTGTCAGAATTCCTACAGTACAGTAGGTTTTATAGAAGCCGAGTCCATCACTGATAAGACCCACACTCTGCCCTGTCCTTCACTGGGAGTCATCCCAGCAGATCGACTCGGAGCAGAGACTTGTACAGCAACAGACACGTTTTTCTGACTTGTTGTGTCACTTTTTCAGAAATGTTGCCAAAATCTGAGAATAAAGTTCATCCACAGAACCTGGTCAAGAAGCTGCAGGAGAACAACCTGGGACTAGGTGGTGTCATTTCAAGCTATAGAAAGGTGAGTTACTCTTTACCAGCCTTAACAAATCAACAAACAAGTGGAATGATGCAAATGTACTGGTGTGCTGTGTTACATATTCATAAAACAGCTGTAGAACAGCAGCAGCGGCCACAGTTTTCTGGCTTGGGAACTACTGTTGAAACACCAGGCGTTATATATTGGGTTACTGATTAAAGTTATTACACTGAATTGTACTTGTTGTGTGTCTTAACCCATTATTTTCTTTGGGCACTTTTTTAAGATAGCATTTTGTGGCCAACATTGACTGATGAACTACTTACTGTGTAATGTCCACTTACATGTATAAAAGCTAGTCATCAACAAACGTGAAGAAACTGAACAAATATGACTGACCATAAAGTGTCTCCAGATTACTTTTTTGACCCTTATGACTGACCATAAAGTGTCTCCAGATAAGAAACAGTACTTTAAAAGTGTTTTCTTAAGACAGAGGCTTTTGCTTAAATGAATATAAATGCTCTAAATTGAAGGATTTTTCTTCAAGCTGATTTCACTCTATGCAATAAACCACTCAGGAGTCTGTCGCACGCTCATATTTCATTGCTGCTGCGGCGGTGTGAGATGCGATTTGAGATGCCGTAATCAAAACTCCCGATCTGCCTCTGGGCTTCTGTCCGGCTGATTTGCCTCTCGCTGACATCACTGATGCAGTTCGGAGTAATGCAGCAGCCCCAGCAGCAGCCCCAGCAGCCGGATGTGTGGCGATTCAGACGACTGCAGGGCAGCTCCCACGTTGGCCAGGGCATCGGTTGAAACTGACATGGAGTCTGAAGTGGTCCAGGCAGTGGCGATCAGCACAGCCAGACCCTCTAAACACCTGTCTGTCTCCCCTTCTTTCCAGCGCTGCACGTTCAGCTCCTGGGTCCAGCAGAACATCCGTAAGAAGGAGTGTTGTTTCTTTACTAAGGGCGTGAGGTAGGTAGAACTGTAGGTGGAGCTGTTCTCTGATGTGACATCTGCATGCTGAAATCTGCCGACCTGACCTTGTTACTGCTGTTTGTGCACAGTAACGGATGTGTGTGTGTGTGTGAGAGAGAGTTCAGCTGTGTCCAAATGATGTATTTAATACTTACCACTAGTTACTAGTACTGCATTTCCTACCACTGTGATATTTACTCTGAACCCTTATTTTTAGGCAGCGTCATTGGGTTTAAGTCTATCTATCTATATCTAAATATACATGTTATCAGGTTCTCAATAGTATTTCAATACGATTACTACTATTACTATTACTACTATTGTGGTTGCATTGACATTTCATAGAACATTTAGAATATGTGTTGACTTCTACATGTAAACATAGTCATTAATGCCTGAATAACAAATTACAGAACATTGCCTCTGTGTTCCCACTAGAGATGATATTTGCAGGTGTGGTTACTTGAAAGTTGAACATGTGGATGACGCCATCAAGCCAGAGGACTTCACTGGGGAGTCATGGAGCGAACACAGACATGTCCGTGAAGTGCCCACTGATGCTTACGGAAACATCAGCTTCGGTGGCCCAGGACAAAAGACGGCCAAGGTGACGGAATGTTTTTGTCTAAATAAAAACACATCCAGAGTAGATCATGTGTTCCCTCCCACTTTAACCTTCCCCGTTTCTCCACCTCTTCCTCCTCAGTACGTACGAGTTTCCACGGACTCCAATCCCAAAGTCCTGTACCAACTGTTAACTGAACAATGGGGACTTTCACCTCCCAACATGTTGATCTCTGTGACCGGAGGAGCCAAGAACTTCTACTTGAAGGCTCGTCTCAAGAGCATGTTCCACAGAGGACTCATCAAAGTGGCTCAGACCACAGGTCAGATCCAAACAAGTACCGCTGTGTTGTGTGTGAAGTGTTGAAACTTACTCCCCATCCAGCAGAGGTGGAGGTAATAACTAGGAAGAATGAAAGGACTGTTGAGTCAAAAGCTGCAGATAAGAAAGGAAAGAGACAAGAGCTCAGTGCGTCACAGGAGTCCTTGCAGCAGTCTAGCCCTACAGCCTTTGTTTTTATCCCAAAACTGAGAAAACAT